GACACCAGTCCTGGGCCGATGTGGGAGGGTGTGGGACTGTGTTCTGGGGGCTGTGGAGCCAGGCCCTGGGGCTCCATTTCTAAACATCAATGGTAACACCTGCCCCAAAGATGCCCAACATCCAGATGCCTTTGAAGGCCTGGTGGAGATGCCATCTGCCCTAGGTGGCCTTCCCTGACCCTTTGTCCTCGAGCCTCCCAGTCCCTGAGTTCCCAAAACATGTCCCTATTTTTCCCTCAATCTCAGATCCTTCTTCTCCACATTGCCCACTCTGCCAGCCTTGTACTGGGCACTAGGAATTCCAAAATAATTCGCTCAAGGGAATTACCAGTAACAAATATTGGCTACTTACCCCATGCCCAGCACAATGTTGAGCAATGTGCATTCATTAGCTTTGCTCCTCACTACCCTGTGAGGATGTTTCATTATTTCCACTTTAAAGATGATGAAACTGAGGCTCAAAGAGGAGAAGTGACTTGGCCAATGTCATGACTCTTAAGTAGCAGAGCCAGGGTTTGACCCAGGTCTATCTGTTCTGGATACAGGCTCTTCCTCTCCAAGCTCTGTCTACCCTGTTGGGGTCACAGGCCTGGGGCTCAGAAGGTGTGGAGAAGACGGTGTGGGCTTTTCAGCGCTCACCCTGCAAACTTGAGAGCTTTGCTAGCTGCAGGCCTCAGAAGGTGAAACCGAGAACCCAGCAGCTGGATACCACCTCCAGGTGTCAACAGAGACCCAGTCTCAGAACTGGGGTGTCTTCAGTTCCTGAGCAGGACCCGAGTGAGAACAGTACTTCCCCATCTCTTACCCGCTGCAGCACCCACCTGCCACACCTGCCCTCTCTCTTCCTTGCTGGCTCAGGGAACAAGGTGTTCTCAGGCTGAGGGCCAGGCACAGGCTTCTGCTCACAGAAAGGGCTCTGGGTTCCCACACTGGGGGACTTTAGGCACATCACCACCCCTGGCTGGGCCTTGCCTGCCTGCCCCTGGATTGCTGGGAACTCATCTAAAATAGTAATATTGATTGTAATAAGAGTTAATGAGCATGTTCGCTGCTAGCAGCTTTCTCATACAAGAACTCCTTCAGCCCAAAGTGTCTCTAGGGACTGCCAGCCTGGGAGTCCATGGGAGTGGTCATGTGGCCACCATCCTCCCGTGGTCACTGGCCTTGAGTTGCCACAAGGGACTTTATGCCAGTCACTCAGGAGACTATTTCAGTTTCTACCCCTGTCTGCCTGTTAGACCACAGTATGGCCTTTTCCAGTTTGTGCTTCACTGTCATCTTAGGAGGCAGGTGGTGCAGAAGTTAATAATTACCCCCACTTGCCTGATGAGGAAATCGAGGCTTAGCAAGGACATGGGGCTTACCCAGGGCCACACAGCTAGTTATTGGTAGTGCTGAAGGTGAGACTCACTTCAACTGATTTTATNTGAAGCGCGGCGGCGGCAGCGGCACGGGGTGCACAGGGCGCGGCGGCCGGAGCCCGGGGCCCGCCATGGGCCGCCCCGGGCGGGGCGTGCTCCGGCCGCTGGCGCTGCTGTTGCTGCTGCTGCGGCTCCAGCATCTTGCGGCGGCGGCAGATCCACTGCTCGGCGGCCAAGGTGCGTGCAGCTGGTCCCCAGCCCGGCTCTGCGCTGCCGGAGCTGCCAACAAAGCGCGGCCCAGCGGATGGGGAGCGGGTTGCGCCAAGGCCCCCAGGCCGGGCCTGGCAGAGGCGCTAGTGGGGAATAGGCTCCTACGGACCCAGTTATCCCTTAATTTCCCCCTCGCCCCCCGCGGCTCTCTGTGCTGTGGGGTCTGCTCCCCGGCACCTGCTCCTGGGGGATGGGCGCAGTGGGCGCCAGGCAGGCCCGAACTTTGCAGGGAGGGTTGGTTGGTCATTGATGGTTTGGGTGGGCTGTGTGATTCCAATCATTGGGGTTCATTTGACGCGCGCTCCGCGGCGGCGGTGAGCGGAGCCAGGCGACCTCCCCGCCTGACAATGCGTTTCCGGGGATCCCTGCGTGCTGCTTAGAAAGAGGAGCTGCGCGCAAAAGGAGGATGTGTCCGCAGCGTCCAGTGTGTCGCGGCGTATTTGTGGGCTCTCTGTGGGCTGTCTGCGTAGGGCTCTATGGGCCGAGTGTGTGGGTGAGTGTGTATGGCTAAGTCGTGTGAAACAGACTGTGTGCCTGGCCTCCTTGTGCCACGGAGCTGCCCGCCATCCCAGGAACCTTCCTGCCTTCCTTTAGGATCAAGAGCGCCCGAGGTCCCCGGTGTCGTTAGCTTCAGCATTGCCCCTTTCCTTCACCCCAGTAGACCCCTCCCGGTGGCCAGGACTGCGTGGTCAGTTGATCCGGCTCACTCCCCCTCTCCCCCGCGCAGGGCCGGTCAAAGAATGCGAAGAGGACCAGTTCCGGTGCCGGAACGAACGCTGCATCCCCTCTGTGTGGAGATGCGATGAGGACGATGACTGCTCCGACAACAGCGACGAGGACGACTGCCGTGAGTGGCGGGCAGGATTGGGAGAGAACGGTGGGGGGCGCAATGCTTAGCGCGCACGTGGCGGCAGCTGCAGCCCGGCCACCTGCGTGGACAGCTCGTAGCCGGGAAGCCGCCCGGGCGCCGCCTCCCTCGGGGCTGGGTGGCTCTCAGCAATACGGCTGGAGCTGGGCGGCAGGCGTGTCCTAATAGGGTCTGGGGCGGAGCCGGGGGCGATGTGGCCCTGAAGGAGGGCACGCCACACCCGGTTGCTGGGCCGGAACTGTGAACAGGGAAGCACCGGTCCCTGCAAGCGTCTAGCTTCCGGCGGTAAGGCTCTCCGGGACTCCTACCTCGGCTCCACAGAGCGCGCGCGTGTTTCAAAGTTCCACGCAGCTCCAGACCTCGCTGCACTCCTTTTCCTTCTAGATTTTTTGTGAATGAATGGGCTCCCCGGGGCCCCTGATTGGCTGGGTGAGGACCACCCCATAGGCCCCCGTGGCCAGAGCGGCCAATCGTGGAGCGGGAGGGTGTGTAGTTTTCGGGCGCTGTGGGTGCTGGGGCCCTGCCCTAACCCCGCCCCGGGCACACCCCCGCGCGCTTCCCGGGGGTAGTAGGTACAGGCTGGGCCCAGGCGCTGACCCCCGTTGCTTTTCTGTCTAGTCACGGTGAAGCTCTTTTTGTGCCACCCTGGTTAGCTGACTGCACTCTCCTGCCACCTCGGCTCCGGCATGAGTCATGGGGCAGATTCAGAAAGAAGGGGGCCAGGAAGGGACCCGAGGATCCCCAGGCCGCGCGTGGAGCTGCTCCCCGACCGTGTGCTAGTAGTGGGCAGACTTTGCTGAGTGTGGTGTTTGTACACACGGGCGCGACTCGCGCTTTACAAGTTCGTTATTGGGGTGCGGCGGTTTCTGCTGTCTGTGGGACCGGAAGCGAATTAGCTTACCGTTGCCACAGTGGAGTGTGTACAGGAACAAAAAAGCAGACCTCTGGGAAGCAGACGCAGGTGGTCATTCATTCATCAGTACTAGGCACCTACTGTGTGTGGGTACTGGAGTACTTGGAGAACAGGCCCACCCCGAGGGCCAGGGAGGACAGGGTCTGCAGGAGGAGGGCAATGGGTGGACAGACTCAAAGCTCCACACAGTGGCAGGGGTGGCCGTATGGTAGAGAGAACACCTGGAGAGGCACTGTCTGTTGAGTCCTCAAGATTTGGGTGTGTTTTTTTTTTACTGGGTTTGCCAGTCAGCCTCCAGGTTTATTTTCAGACCCAATCCATAGTTCACTCTTTGACTGGGGTACATCTTTTCCTCCTGCCTCAATTTCCTTACCTGGCCACTTGAGTTAATGATTCCTGCCCTGGTTTTGAGGACCAGTCTAGTAATTGGGAGTAATGAGACTAACATGTGCTGACCGGTAGCTGTTTGCCAAGCCCTGTGGTAAGTGCTTATCTTACGTAAACTCCTTTAATCTACAGAATAGTCCT